TCTATGTCATCATGGGACCCACGTCCAACTCAACTAGTTTCCCACTCGAACTGATACGAAACAGCTGTCCAGTACTCCTTGATTTTCAATGCCTCTTTGATTAATATCACTTCTTCGTAGTCTACCTTGAAATATTACATAATACATCATACATGTATCATGAAATGATTACACATTTACTGCAAAAGCTAACGGATTGAAGCTCAATTATTCACCAGATCCAGTGTATCCTGTTCACAATAGTCCAAATTTTAAAAAATATTAGTTACCAGATGACGTTCGCTTCTAAATAATAATTCACTGACCAATATTGATTCATTATAGAAGACGATTTTTCCCACTTATGAAACAGTGGATAATACTATTCACTGAACAAATCTTTCTCAGAATTTCATCATGAACTGATATCGTTTAAAAGACCATTGGAAATCCTAGGAATACTGGACAGCCAGCGGTTTCGTCCCAGCCTAGGACTCTTCACCGTATTCACCCAATAACCGATGTCAGTTCATCATGATGAAATCCTGAAACCAAGGAAATCCCTGAAAACCAACACTTCGAAATCATTCTCAGTCAGTGTCTTCCTTGTCAAACAAAATGTCACTTGAAATACGACTACGTTAGAAAAACCCATTCAAATTGATCCAATTAAATCATCACACACTAAGTCATCAAATCGTCAAGTTGATATTTTCATTCGTGTAAGCGGGTCTTGATGAAATAATCGAAAATCCTTCACATGATATCATGTTCGACATTCTCTACAGTTTCATCAAGTTATTAACTCTCCCTCCTCTCCTAATGTCTTCCCTAATGTCTTTCTGTTTCACCAATTCCCGTTTTCGAGGACCAGTGTCCGATAGGCATTCAAGTCAATTGAGTATACAAGATTACAATGCATTAGAAACTTAAACCCAGTTATCCTGACATACATTTGTATAATTTGATAACATGCTGAATACCATCAGTCTTTATTTATTTGTTTATTGTCTCCATATTTGTTATTAAGAGAGGACTAGTGCACTTTTATTTATACTAAGCGTCATTTATTTTATCGATCATGTCAGACATCATAGTAACTACGATCTAATGTCATCTAGATACTTGTATTGATTTCCTACATAAATAAAGTTTCGATGTATTGAGTTGTACTTGATAAATACGTATAAAATAAGGTGAATATTTGTATAATTAGCGCCTAATTTTTGTCTTCGTTACAGCGATTGTGGTTACCAAGGCAAATGGAGGGATCAGTGTAACAATTTTAACGAATTTCTAATTGAATTTAAACTAAAATAAAGTCGCACTGACACTATTATTCTCCTGGAATACTTCACTGGATCCTGTGGTATAATATATTTGTCCACTTAAAAAAATCTAAACAAGACGTTTTAATTTCGTAAAACCTTGACTTCATTTAAGTAATAATTAAGACATTTACCTCGACATATACCCGATTCAGTTGTTTTGAACTCCACTTGTGTCAACTACTCGTTTGTTTTGTTTTAATCGATATAATAATAAAAATTATTATTATTCAATGCAGATCTGATATCATTGAAAGGGATATTGGAAACCAAAGAGTACCAGATGGCTGTTTCGTTCTAGTCTGACTCTACCAGGCAGGGATCGAAATCAGGGTTTTCAGATCATTAAGTCTGCCTGTTCGTCTTCCAGTCACTGAGTTCAAATCTCACAATCCCTAGATTCTAAATTCTGCCAATTCTTAATACAGCGCCACTGCAAACTAGAGCTATCGATGAGTATCAACTTTAGTCTGGGATGCGGGATCCTACCGACCGAGATTTCTATCAGTGGTTCTGTAATCTATGTCAGTTCATGACAAGACCTGCACTGAAATAAATCAAAATCTATACAATAGCCAAAATCTGGATATTAACCCTATTTTCTAAGTTGTCGAAGATTCTTCAAATAAGATGGCAGTTTATATGATGGTGATAATAATAATAACAACAGCTTTATTATGCACAATAAGTTTACACAATATGCATAATTTTCAGAGTAGTTTATGGCATAATATTCTCTCTTCATCCAGGAGTTTAAGTAAAACAGCCATCTCCAGTACATCGTGTGACGCAGTGATGTTACATCTGGAAAATAAATTAATCATTTATGGTAACTTTTGTTTGCTCCCCCAAAATGGCAAACCAATTAAAAATGTGCATGACGACATTTGGTGACCCACGGATATCACTGAATGATTATGACAAGAGGAACTAAAGAAAATAAGATGCATCATCTGGGACTGAAATTCAGGTAGCTCATTGATTCAAGGAGACCGCCTTCTACGAGACGATTTAGACAGCCAACATGGAAAGTAGCCTGTAGTCAACACTCTTCGGTAAATTCCACTGTACTAGTTTTTCTCGTTATTCTGCATCCAACTGTCACTAAACGATCAAGTAAATTGAAAGTTTGGTTAGGAGGGCGGTTTTGCAGAAATCTCCTCATACAATTATGCATATATTTCCCGAGGTAAGACAAGATAACCAACTATTTCCACCTGGATGCATAAATTCGGTCTTAATGGCGACCGTTTCACCGATGCGTAGTAATCAATAGCTATCTTCAACCTATTTATTTACCTTGAAGGATTTCAATGCATCGATTTTATGACTATTGTCTGACAAGTGGCTGACAATCACACTACTAAGGACTTTTGAACCTACTAGACGCAAGTTTCTTGGAATATGCTGATTGTAGGATTGAAGACGACGTCTGTCAGTGTGACGATATAGTCAAGAGTGTAGATGGAAGGTTTTATTCAGTCTGTCTTATTACAGTAGTCTTAGATTCACAAATTCTAACTATTCATGTAATCTGTTTTCACTATCTTTGGGACACTCACTGTGCAGTATGTATTAATCTCTTCCTTCCATGTCTACTAAACTTGTTTTGAAACACTTACCGTCGATAAATTACTTCCGAACTGTATCAGCTATCCAACTTTTAAAAGACTGATCAGTGAACCAAGAATATTACTTTCGATAACTTCGACAGGTTCCTACTCGGGGTTTGTCAGGTGGATATATCGTTCCCCAGTAAGTGATGAATTTCCTACTGAAATTCGAATCTACCACCACTGCCTCAAATACACCAAAGTGATATTCTTCACTAGGTTAGTGAACCATGAGAACCACTACTCGTGTAGTTTCTCTCTCTTATTCCAAGAATGAATCAATAAGAAATTATTGACTAGTGGTTGATTTACAATAAACCAAGAAAGACAGTTTATTAAATTAATGTGCACAGTGAGACCTAACCGTTCTACAGCCGACCTTGTGCACAGAAGCCAAATCGCAAACTAGGAAGATGTGTGCAGTATGGAACACACTATGATTATAAAGTTTTTTATAAGACGATAAAAATGGAAACATTGTACACTTTTGTTTGAAACGGTTCATTGTAAAATATACATAAGTTTGAAGTGCAGTCTGAAATACAGTGGGCTACTCGACGCTTTGTCTTTTCACTGATCCACTCTGTCTACTTCCTTCACTACTAACCGTGTGGCAACCTTTGGAATTTGTGGGAGCCTCTAGCAGTAGACACGACTCCCCTACTCAGCATTTCGGTGGTTTATATTAATAATTTGTATCAGCGGACTTTAACTGCATAATCAAGTAACCATTAATATGTATAACACGTTGACTGAATTTTTATAATATACTGGTACAATACTATTTCATTAACTTGGAACTTTATTCTAATAATTGTTCCGTTACCAAGTTCGCTATAAAGTCCTCTAGAGATTAATTGGTTACTTGGTTATTCAGTTAGAGACGAAGATGAAGCGTCGAGCAGCACACTGTTTGCTTGCAGGTATCTCCGATCCTCTAGCTGATTCTGTGCTCTAATATCCACTAGAGTCATCTAGATTTGTTTCTGAATTATCCACGAAATCACGATCAGTTTATACGGGAATTTATAGACAGCTCAGTAATAGAATAAATATTAGAATAATAATCCAAGCTATATAGCGATACCAAATTCCAAATAAACATTCCTGTACCAATTGTCTCGTCTTCTACCATTACACGACAATTGAAACTTTAAGGCTCAAGCTAAACTCTACACATTCCACTATAACGCACATTAATTAAATAAATAAAAAATTAGGTATGCTACTGGTTAAACTGTCACCATAGCAACACAACAACAAAGAATTACTCAAGATATGAAACATGTTATGCTACTGATTCCTGAAACCAAATATGATTTCCGATGATAAACTACAGAGAGTGTAGGAGTTCTCCTCTACTGATTTACCATACGCTCAATGTTAACTCCAAGAAGTACTACGCTCAGCGTTTAAAAATCACACTTCATACCTAATTATCCCCTTGGGTATGTCACAGATATATGAACGCCTTCAGATCAGATGCAGATTTCCAACAGTTTATTTGTCAGAATATGATTCATTTCCAAGTGTGATCACGAATTGATACCAGTTAGTGAACCATTGACAACAAGCCAGTACTGGACAGATGTTTCTTCCTAGTGCATGGGAGTCATTGGTATTATCCACCCACCCGACTTGACGTGAGGACAAACACTAATCACCGATGACATTGGCTGATACCAGTCGCCCTAAAATCCCAGATTAATAGAACTTGAAATCCCCTGGCCACTGGGTCGGTTACCTGTAGCTGAATAGTCTATGAGCTTGACTTGTAAACAGAAGGGCCAGGGCTGAAAACGACTCTGGTAGGTGTGAACTGCCGATGAATCCGAAACTAGAAAGAAAAGCTGTACAGTACTCCACGATTTCCAATTCTCGTCCAACTCATATCAATACGTGATCAAACCTGAAAAACCCATATAGACTGTTAAACTCGACTCCTTTTTCACTGTTTCACACCACTCAGGTATTAAATTCCTCAAATAATAATAATAATAATCCTTTCATTTAGATTACCTTCAAGAAGTTGAAGGGTCTACTCTAACTCGAAAGTTATAACTTCACATCCTGTTTTTAACTCCGAGGTATACTCATACATGAAATCGAAAGTAGGTAACAATGTATTTGAAAGTTACAACCCGTTTATCTCGAAAATTGATAAGCAAAATAAAATCTTGTTGAGTACAATGTGTAGTAATAATGAGTGATAAGTAAGTTCCTGAGTGACATCTATTTACTCACGATGTATGGTTCAGTCATGTACAGTATGAAAAGTGTTTTCCAAAAGTATGTATGTGTCTATATATTTGAAACAGATTTTTGGCGCTAATATGAAAAATAAGGTAGGTCTTCAATCTAGTCTAAATATGGTCTCCATATCGGTGGCGATGTTGTTGTAGTAGTTGGCTTTACGGTGTCATGACTAGAATTACAAGAAACGAAATTAGTAGAGTTGTTGTTGTTAGTGGTGGTTTGGTGCGATTGAAAATCATTGTGTCATGTTGTCGATGAAAATAATTCGATGTGGGATTGCTGCTTAAAGAGTCTCTCGTAGTCTTTACAGGAACACCAAATGCCGAAAAGCGTTGTTGTTGTTGGTGGTGTATTCTTCTTCATCTTCAAATTTTTGAAACGGTGGTGACGTTGAATTCATGAGTAAATCAGTCAAAGAATGAACAACATTCGGTGTATTCAAAGGTCTAGTAGATCCCATCAATCGAGTATACTCATCGCTGACAATATCAAACTGATTTCTTCGATTATCTATTGAACCTGATGAATGACTATTGTTACCACTGAGAAATCCACTATCAGAATTATTCAGTGTGGAATCCAATTGCTTTCAATGTCCTCCTAACGGTGTTGATGATAGCCACTGGTTGTTGTTATTATTCCATGAATGTATCTCAGTATTTGAATGTTGTTGACTATTGTTCGTCATCATCCTCTCACGAAAAGGAGGAGGTGGTAGTGGTGGAGTTGAACACACGACAAACAATACTGATGATGATGATATTGAAGGCAATGGGGTGGACATCGAAGATGAATTGTGCATACAACTAAAAGGGATTGTTGCTGTTGGTGTCGGTGTTGTTGATGTAACAGTATTCGTGGTAATGGTCTTCACTACTGAACAACTTTTATTTGAAAATGTATTTTTAATTATCAATTTCGGTATCTTATTCTCTTTATTGTCTTCATCAATCACCAACTGGCCAGACTGAGGAATGTTACCAGTGGCAGTAGAAATATTAATGGTATTAGTATTATTAGTGGCAGTGGTAGTGGAATTTGATTGGAAGAAAGACGATGGTAGTATTCGTGTTATTTTAGAAGATGAATTAGTATTCATAAGAGAATATTCCTCTTCTTCTCCAGAAGGTTTATTCATCACCGACGACGACGACGCATAGTCTTCTTTTCGATTTCCTGCTGCTATTGCTACTTTATGCAACGATTCAGTGAATTCATCCAGTTTCTTCGTCACTGACGTCAATCGTGATGTTGATGTCGAGGATGATGATGACGAGGAGCGGCAGGAGGCGGAGGAGGAGGATGGAATGGCATTCCTGGTAGGACAGGAAGATGTCACTTCATACAAACTATGACGTAGTTTCCTCAAACGGGCTTGTAGTTCTATGAAGAAATGAAGAAAGACAGAGAAGAGATAATAAACATCAAGTCATTCTGTATGACATGTTGAAATGGGACGTATCAGTAACTGGTTCATAAACTCAGTGATAGAATTCTCGTCATGATTTTTACAACACCCACAGCTGATATAGAAAGTGAGAAATCCTTAATCACAGAAAAACTATTCTATTTCGAGATCTTAATCCTTCATTTCAATTTTGTCTTCTTCTTCTTCTTCTTCGGCGTCACAAAACAATCCAGTCAAACTATAGGCAACGTGAACTGATTCTGTGTACTTTCACAATTCCCCGTTGTCCACATATCCTCACCGGATGTAGTAATATACATAAACCTTCGAACGATCAGTGTTAGACGGGAACGAAACGCAAATACACCTTGGATTTTATTGTTTATTCACCAACAGACAAATACCAACAAGTTTGAAAAGGGACATCCGGCGTGCTCAGTATCTACACTATTTGACTACAATCTACATTACTTTTGTAATTACGCCTTAAATGACCAGTCCGACAGACAAGGAAACTCATACCCTACATTTTGTAGCCAACGTCAACAACTACTAAATATACAATAACTAAGATCTGAATACAATACAAGATGAAATCATTTCAACTAACAGACTCCTAATCAACAAAATCGAAAGTCTCAGGATCATCTACTCTGTTACCAATGGTATCCCCTTCATTTGTAAGTAATGCATCATAAGTGCGCTCCACAGTAATACGCTAAACAGATGTCTCTGTGAAAATGGTGTCACGCAGTGTGCAGACGTTTTGGTTATCGACACTCATCTAGCATGCTGACTATATTCCAAACTTGACGGAAGCAGTTCCGTCAACTCAAACACATGATATCGATTACTCCATTGGAAGCCAGCCAGCAACTCAGTGTATTTCAAAAATTACAAACCAAACTAAGACGCCTCTTCAAATGGTTAATACTCAAGTCAAAATAATCTCCTCGCCTTCAAAAAGTTTTTGCACGCCTTTGTCACACACTTACCAGGTTTATCTTTAGCGATATCAGCAACTCGTTCGAATACGGTGTAACACAGATTTAAAAGATCAACCTTCTCAAGTTTCTGACTCTCATCAGGCTGAAATTATGGGAAGGAAAACAAAACAAAAAGGTATTAGTTGTCTATTTTGATGCTGAAAAGAAGGAATCAATAATTTCAGCCTTATCTCTGATTATTCAGTTCAACTGAATACTATTCATTCTGGTGAGCTCTGTACTGACAAGTAAGATAGCGAGTACTAAAAAGGAAAGGAGAGGCATGTAAAAGCTATGAGTTGTCATACCACTGATTTTTACTAATAAAAAACAAGATTCTGGTGAACAGAGGAAATGACTTCAACGTCAGTCAAGTTATTAAACGTTTCAAGCATTTTTCAAGTGTCTAAGTTCCTGTGTGAAGAGTATATACATAAAATAATACTGGAATTATAACAGACATCGGTGGAAACAACACCGATGTTCACTGGTTTGGAATAAACCTGTTTACACACCACCTCGAGTTTCTTTTGCCTCCTTAATTTTTGACCAAACAAAATGTGAAATCATAATAATTCAACAACAAAAAACAAACAAATCTGAATAGTGGGCGAGAAAATGTTTATATTATTCATTATGTAACTAATCTATGACGCTGATATTAGTTGGTTGATTATATTTTCGGTTATTAAGAGAAATAAAACTGGGGAAACACAAACAACAACGATGACAAAAAGGAGTAATTAGTGTAATTAATCCAACACTCACTCATTGTCCATCACATCACTGCAACACAGAGGTGGGAAGTGTGAACAATAATGATAATCATAATAATAATAGTAATAATGGGCGTGGATGATGCATCCATGTGTCTAACACACCTATACTTATGTATCGGTATGTTCAAACTAGTGATAATAGTGAGAGAGTACTACTGATGTATATTTCACAAGAACACATTTTGAAATAACGGATGATTCGATACATGTGTAATCATGCGGAGTATTATAATATATTTCAGAAGAATAATGTGATAAAATATGAAGAACTGAAGAGTGTGAAAACATTGAGAAATTTATTTTCAGTGAGACGGAGAATAAAATTCAAGAGTTATAGAATGTATGCATTGCTGGTTCACATGTGCTCCGAGAAGGATTGCCGACCGCCGACGTATTCCGAAACCTCATTTAGCCGGTAGTCCATCGGGTAAGAAGAAAAAAGGTGGAGCATGAGGCTAGAAATTCATCCACCCTGAGGAAAAATTACATTATTGTTACAAAAACTCCAGAGCTCAAGCTTGAATTCTTATGTTCCCCATAGGAACACAAAAGGAGTGAAAAACCGATTAACAACCCTGGATAATATCCACATCATTAATTCAGTGACTTTAAAGTCATCATTCCACCTAAATTCTCAAAGAGATGGTACAGTTCATTTCGAGATATAAGAATAACTAAATATACTATACGATATGAAACGCTGCATGCAAAAATATCAGAATACATGAAAGTTATCACATCTGTTCGTCGGGTCATATAAATTAAAGGTGTAGGGAAGGTAATTCACATTACACAAAATACACAGCTAACTAATTACATGAACTAAGACTCTTCAGAAGTACGCAGACATGACTCCGACGGGAATAGAATCAAGCACATTCAAGTCGAGAGACATTCCCACTGGCTATTAGGTCACTGAAATCGAATCGAATCTTCTATGAATTCCACCTCTTCGTGGCCATCTGAATCCATCCAAATACCCGAACAGCATACGAGTTCACCTGATAACCTGAACTTCCTCAGCATCCTCACTGGTGTGGTCATAAGATGGTACAGCTGCAGAGTCTTAAACAGGGACGAAACAACTCTCCAATAACCTTTTTTATTTCTCTAACTGAAGAGAACGCCTCGTCAAACGAGAAATCGTGTTACATGTATCAACAGCGTTTACACCGAACTACTTACAACAACGAAGATAATAAAAACCAATAAGGAAATATCACAACAGAAATCACCACATGGACTCACATTAATTCCAATCACCTCCATAGCTAAACTATGCAAAGCCTTCATTTTATCTGAGATGGAAGCACGTCGTCGACGTTCCATATTCTGTTTTTTAAGCTAATTTATGTAACCAAAAGAAATGTGAAAAAATACAGTTATCAGTTAGATAACTAGTTAACTGAGCGAGTCAATAATCAAACACTAAGGAACAATAAATTTTGAGAACACTGAAAAGTCACCCACACACCCACCTGCCACCGATGAACAGGAAGACCATAAGTAGATTTAATTTGGGTGTAGAGTTTAGGCAATGTGGTGGTAGAAGAATATAATTCCACATTAAATAAGTTGATTTCGTAAGGCTTACACAGTGTTACGTGACTCTAAACTATAGCTGCCCAATATGAAACTACATAATGAAAACCTTGACAAATCTCTATCGGCCAATCAAACGTGTCCAAAGTAGAAGTGTTTAGTATGAAAAATAATTATACGTATGGTAAATGTTCCAAGAAAAGCTCCCAATTGCCGACACCAGTCCCTATAGTCACTCTAAACTAATTTCTGTACGCGAATTCGCCGAGATAACTGTATATCACCATGTTTCTCGACTCATACACCGCTCTGATCCCACATTTTTAGGTGACTGTAGAAACTTTCCATGGAATTTGTATGAGTCTCATTGAAAGGAATGACGAAATCATCCGAGTGAGTGACCAGGTTGGAAATATAGCCTACGGATGACAGTTGGTTGCACTACTAACACTACTCTTTCAATCAGTCTGTTGTCTGAGCACCACTTAAATACTAGATGTGGATGAAATAAGATAATATTAATTCGTTGATTAGGGTGGTCTCGTTTTCGGCTGATATAGTTTAGAAGTCACCCACCCATCCAGTGCTATACAAGCTTAATAACCAGTTGACGTTCTTACTGCACCATCATATCAAAATATTCACATTTAATTTACTCTCTTAATTAACCTGTTGACATGATTATGCGCAATAAATTCTGCTTCAAATATCAATACACTGTAGTATTACGCTGTATTCTATATCAGATAAACCTCTCTCATGTGGACTAAGTTAACTTAGACAAATATTTATTAATTAATTCGGGTTAATATAACTTCCTCTTCCCCTAACCACACACACACACATGTGACTCATGCAATAACAACATACTATGGCTGATATACTCTCTTAGGCCTAAATTCTTCTCACTCGATTTGATTTGATTTGATTTTAAAAATGTGTGACTCATACTTCGCTTATATAGTTGACAGTTAAAAAAAGTATGTTGCTAAGTCACTCAAAATGACACAGGATTACGGAGTGAACTAGTGTATTTGGACATATTGATTTTAATGCATTCCAACACTTTTGTAACCTAGTGGCAACACTTCTCACAATACTGTCACTTATAGCATATTTGTGTCTATATCGTTATTATTATTATTATTATTATTTGTATGTCGACTCATCTCGAAAAATTAGTCGCCTATGTGTAGTAGAAATAATTTGAACAAAACAAAACAAAAAAACAGACTGACAACTAACAAGATTTCACTCAGTCACACTATTCGCTTGTTACTACTCTATTATATATTATAATATTAGTAAAGGGATACTATTGATGTGTTAAATCGAAGTCACTTGGTGATACTACTACTACTATTACTACCACTATAGAAAAGCATATGGGCATTCGATCAATAAATCAATGACGTCAAATGCCAACTGATTGGTCAGTTTATAAAATTATAAATAATACGTCCTATCCTCAGTACAACCTCAGTCTATTTCCTACTAAGCAGTTTCTACCTCAAACAGTTGAGCATTCAATTTCACTACATAACACCAAAAAACTGGTCTATTCTCACCTCACTTTTCTACCACGTCGCAACACCTAAGAGAACATAACAGGAGAGTTGGGAAGACATGGAAGAACTACATCGCTATGAAGTACTTGTTCATCCATCTAGTCATGCAATCTTCGAAACCACTCAAAAAAATTAGCGATCTTAGTCGACTCGGTCAAGAAGCGATTAGACAAGATTAGATAGTTACTAGGATAGAATAAAACAGGGTTGAAGGCATCTGTCGTTAACCACAACTCTCAATCTCTACCCCTACCATCTATACCATTATTACATAGGCCTGTGACGAATCTCCGGTTAACCACTGACTAACGTCTGTGTGTCGGTGACATATTAACTCAACATGTAGCGCCCCATTGAAAACCAACCATACTTAGAGGCATATCTTCTGTCCTCGATTCGCACAACCGATTCCAGGATATCGAATGTTTGACTGTGGTGATTAAGCAGTGGACTAATTATAATTACCAAACCGTATATGCAGGGGGAAGTTAGTAGGATAACCTGTCTCCTCAGAGCATTGGGATTCTGATTAGCTGATAGAACCAATATCGATAGTAACCTCTTCAAAATTTCCTCCCTTGTGTTACTTCCTTCAGTCGGATTTCTTCTTCATATAATTAGATCTGTAAAGCCTAACAACAACGAGTACCCTGTTGTACCAGGGTCACAGGACCCATCAGCGAAACACGCCACCCGGGGTTCCACTCTCGACCGAAAGCCTCTCAAACCTCCCTCAGCCAGGAGTAGACCAGGAAAACAGTGGAAGTTGGGGCAAAGTTAAACCATCATAGCCAAAAACCAATCACAATCCAGACACAAAAGTCACATAAACAACTTTCGAAAATGCACCAAACAACATTGCAAACATGATATTACACCATTTGATTGCCGCTTATGAGTTGTAAGTGTGTCTCTCAGTTACTACACAGATGATGACACCATACGCGATAGATGCATTCATCCACATGACTCAAGGTCATGGTGCTTTCAGACATTTCCCCTTAACCCACTCTTTATTTTAACCATGATCCTAACTTCAACCTCATTCCTAACCTCACTTTATCTAACACCCTAAACACTAAGCTAAAAGGAAATATCCCCACAAAACGGTATAAATTTGGGGCGAAAGCACCTAGAAGATAATTAGAATACTGTATCCAAAGGTGGCCAAATAAAAAAAAACAGGCGTGATATGATTTGGAATGACCTATCACAGCGTTCCCTGGGTCTGACTGGTTCACCAAGGCCAACTTTTCGCACACCTCGACTTTGTCTATGATACTTTAACTTCACCAAGGCTGACTGGCATCAGACTAGCATCCCAACCCATACAAACCCTACAAGAGCCACTGCAACTACAAAGTCTACAGCTTCAAGTATTCCTCTCACTTGGAAACCGAATAAATAAAGTTCCTAATGTAACATGATCATCAATGTAAAACACACCATATATATTGAACAGTACAAATCCAAGAAGCAATTTTAACAAATTTATACAACAGACGAACTTACTCGACGTGTTTCTTCTCTAATCTCCACCGGTATAGTCGATCGCCTACCTCTTTTTGAAAACATTTCATCATTTTGTGAAGTTGAAGAATCAACTATATTACATCCCGATAATAGATTCTCTGACGTAATCCCACTTGATGAACAATAAACACGTGGTACACGTGCATCGTCCACACGACATGTGGTTATCGGGACATAGGACATTACCACTACGACAAGTAACACGAGAGAATGTGTAATCAACTCTGGATCAGGTTCACTTTCATTTCATTTATATTCACATTCGCGTGTTTGTCGACTAACCAATGACAGTAGAGTATGTGTCTAAAACAAGGATACAATTCACGTGGGAGGAAGTTAAGCCAATCAAAATAGTTGTCATACTTTCTACCAAACCAACCACGTGATTGACCCAAAAGACTCATTACAAAAGCTGTAATATATATTGTTGTCACGTTGATATAATTGGTGGAAGAAATAATCCATTGGATTGGATTGAATATTGTCATGGTGATTCTGATAACATAATTTTAATAAAATAGTTGAATAGTGATCAGGATAAGGTGGGAGGATAAGCATTCGTTGAGATTTCTGTTATTGTATTTTATTGGTCCTGTAGCTCATTGGTTATTTCCTGCATTCCTTCTGATTTTGATCCTCTCAGAGAGCATCCTTATTTTGCAAAGCATGGAGACTGAGATGACGAGTCCTTATTGGGGGAAAACGCACTCCCTGAGTATTATTACCAATTACCTCAACCGCTCAAAGACATCATATCCAAGACTACTATTCTTCATTGCAAATCTGGTGATAGGCAGAAGTTTGAAGGGTTTCGTTTAGTGTCTGAAATCGTTATTGTTTAGTCGTCAAATCAGGCGATGTTGAACTTATGTAAAAACGATACTATACTACTAGAGAAGTCGAGGACACTCGTTGACTAAGTAATCTGTAAAAATCATTATAACTGTTTCATCCAACCCTGGTACTCATCGACAACGAGTGTACACCATCCGATGAAATGTACAATTGGTAACAGTCAGACACCAAACTAGATTCAAATGTCTTCCCTCCGCAATCAATTCGTGAAATAGTCGCGTCTGTTTTGTTTTGTTTCTTTTTTTATTTCCCAGTGTAACATAAGGTTCTGAACGTGAGCTTTAAAGTTTTGGTAGTGGTGTTGTGGTTGCTAACCTCATGATCAACCTGTTGCCTCTCTCACACAACTTACTAGGCGAGGTTTAGTTATGCGGCGACCAGTTGTCGAACACGGACAACGTGCGTGGTCATTGAGCGTTCTATCACAAGACCACCAGTGCATACAATAATTTCCTTCCTTCATATTGTGTTTCTCTGTGTTCTTTTCACGTCTCACATGTATCCCCGCAACGGTGTATTACTTGCTTTCTCTGACATCATACCTATCTATCTCCCTGCTATACGATGTATTTTTATGCCCATGAACATCTCTTCATATACCACTGATAAATCGTACCAGTAGCACACGTCACACTGGAAAATAGAAAACCTTTGTTTCTTTCTAGAAAGTTTAGAACTCTTGGTAATTTTGACATGAATGAATAATATACTCACTCATAGTGTATGAGTCATAATAACAACTCTGTTTTTAAACCTTCAATTAAAAATTATATATGTCCAAACCAAGTTCACTTTTAACAGTTTGGAAAAATTTGGGCATTGGGTATATGATATTCATTATGATAATGGTTATTTTTGTATTTCCCAATGAATGAAAAACAAAACTGATATCAATCCGTGATCAACCCGTAAAACGATATTGCTTTTACTGACGTTTCGCTATTTAATACTGCTGCTAATAGCTTTATCAAAGTATAATACTTTGTTTTTCATTCATTGGGAAATACAAAAAACCTTTACTTCAATTAAAAAGGTTCTGAATGCATTTATATGTATCTGTATGTGTGTGTGTGTGGGTGGCGGGAGGGGGCCTGTGCATGATACTCAAACAATATTTTTTACAACTATATAGGTCAATCAGAATATAAATCTCAATAAGTAACTGATGATTACTAATCACTTTCAATAGTGTTCTATTTAACTCAATAACTAGGTGAATATCATTCATATAATATTATAAGAATCATATAATAACAATTATGTATGTATGTAGTATGTATGTGTGTATGTATGTATGCATGTAAATAGTCATTATTTTATTCACTACATCATTGTATCAACATCAGGAATAGTGATGAATAATCCTCAGTTGACCGGTGCTCAGAAGTATGACCAACTGTGTGATTAATGAGTGACACAATCCCAACTCGTGTAGTATCCTATACCCTTTGTTTTCACCAAAAAAAATGGTAAAAACAGATGAGGCCTGAAAAGTGAAATGAACTGAAAGATACATGTGTGTGCGTGTGAGAGTATAAGCGTTAATTATTTTGGTGGTTCTGGCGTCTTGACATATATATTTTAAGGTCGATCACTGATTAGAGTCATTTTAACCACTATGGGAAGCCTTCTCATTTCAACTCAGTATAACGCTTAACACATTCATTCCCTTCCTATTCTCCTTTCTCTCTCTCTCTCTCTCTCTATTCTAGGTGATTTTGAATGAGCTGGACGCGTGTAGGACAATATGGTCGCCTCAATCAGGCACTGAATATGTCCTTGTGTCTATAAAATCAATGTATTGTTCATATTATAATAAGAATTAATTTTTCCTTCACATTCCCAGTGGAACATAGGGCCCCAAGCTAGTGGCTTGAAGTTTCTGTAGCAGTGTTCATTTTTAATTTTACAGGATGGGGTTGCTAGCCTCATGCCCAACCTTTCCTCTTTACCAGCATTATTTCTGGCTCAGTGAGGTAAAGGAGTGCGCCGGCTGGGAATCGAACCCCGGACCATGGGCATGGTCGGCGAGCGTCCTAACCGCTATACCACCACTGAGCCGCTTTGTTCATATCATAAGTTCATCATATTCAGTGGCGTGTGAGTGATATGGTGTTGTATTGTGTTAACATTGTATAAATTATCGTTTTTATTGCAGATTGCACTTAAAACACAAACAAACAAAGAAACAATAAAATAAGTTAATGATTAGACATGAATTTTTAGGGACTGTTGATTGACTGAGAAACTGATCATCCCATTGATTTGCCTTTATAATAGCACACAGAGTATCAGCGTGTCAGTTTATCTGGGTTATTTGAGTTAACAATAACTAGTCTCATAGACTTCTTTACTCTACACGAACAGACAATCACATTCATAATAATAATAATAATAATAATAATAATAATAATAATAATAATAATAATAATAATGGAAACACACTTTCTCAACAGACAGTTATTTTCAAGTATTGGTATGTAGGGATTTGGTTTAATTGGTTGGAGGATTTCATCATGAGCTGACATTGGTTATAGAACCATTGAAAACCAAGAAGCGATGGACAGTCAGCTGTTTCATCCCAGTGTGGGATTCATTGGTACTACGCATACACCACAAGGGTTCGATATCAGGACCTTCTGGTTACAAGGCAAGAAGGTATACCATTCTAATTCTTTCAAATTAGTGTGATGCTCGCTAGTGACCATCTGGCTACAGGAGGAAGTCGACCGCAGTTATAGTCAGAAGTCGTGATCATTGGGCGTCATTCACTCGGCAATGAGAATGGATTTCCCGCCGATAGCATTGGTTGGTAGTCATGCTGAGTACATCACGAATTGGTAGGTGTTAGAATTCCTGAACCGGTCACTGAGCAGGGTCCCAGTAAGTGAACGTCATACGAGCTCGCCTTGTCACCGGAGGGTCTTGGATTCGAACCGTGTTGGTAGGTGCGTACTGCTGATGAATCACAAACTAGGGTGAAACATGTATCTAGTACTCCTTGGTTCTCAGTGGTTCTCTAACTGATATTAATTCGCTGTCTAACCTGAGACATTACCCATAGGTTAACTTGTATGTCAAGATGAGAATCTTGAAGAAATGCAATGAAGAAACTCTGAGTGATCCCAGCTTTATTTACGAACTTGTCAAGAAGCGTGTATCGAACCCGATAGTTAAATGATAACATGTTCACCCTGAAATCTCATGGCCTTGGGTTTAAACTTACGTGTAATCGTCCTTAAGAAGAGTCTTACACTAGGACGAAATAGGTCTTCAGTACTCCTTGGTGTTCATTAATTCTCTAGTCGGTGTACATTGTAATAAGATATTGCTTGACATTAAATCAGTCATTTGAACTACTTTTGTAAAAGAGAAACGTACGTTATCCTCTCAAAATACTATTTTCAATGTGCTTAAAATGAACTTCAACCTAGTGAATTTCATCTAACACCAGCTGAAGTGATTCATTTATGTGTTGATTAATTTTATGAACAAAATTAGTTCATATCAAGGTAGATTTTATCAGTTAGAGAACCATTAAATGGAAGGTTGTTTCGTCTTTGCTTGAGACTCTTCAGAGCATACCTCTGTGACTCCACCGGGGGACGAATTCAAGATCTTTAGATCATGAATTAGTAGAAGTTGGAATTCATGCAACACTAAACTCATCGGTGTAATCGGTGAGTATATCTGAAGAATCGCAAACTGCAACGAAACGATTGTCTAGTTCTCACTGGTTTCCAATATTCCTCTGACTGATCTTGGTTTGTGACGAAATCTAACTTGAGATAAGTCGAATTCCTGCAAAGAAACATCTAGAAACTAGTTGAGATAACGATTAATATTAATTTGATCTTCAATTTAACCTCTGATAACTGAAGTTAGTAGAAAGCAGAATCCTGTGAAAGTGGAAATTTAAACTGACGACTTTCCAGAAATTCTTTTATATCAGCCTGGTCAAGTAGACTTTTAACTCAGTTTGTCTACAAAAGTCAAGACAGATGTATTCCAATCTAATTAGTCATAATTGACTACGAAATTATTGCGTTAAAAAGAAAAATGAAGTATTATTGTAACACTTAATTAGTACTTTTGTGGTATTAGTTATAAGGAAGGGCAATTTAAATTATCACTAGGCCACTTATAGTCACACACACACACACACACATACATACAAACACAGAAAGTGAAATCTGCTATTCAACCGTCTTTTAGGTACTTCAGTATTCGCAAAAAACTAGTAGATAGAAATTGACAGATGGTTGTAAAGATAATGAATTCGACAGTATGTATATATAAACCTCATTTCCTCTCCTTTCACAATTTATTTGGTTTCGGTTTACCGTGTTCCCTCCTCT